GTGTGTGTGTGTGTATACACACACACACACACACATTAATATTAGTATTCAAGTACTAATGGAATACTTCTTTGTAATGGTAACTAAATACAGTTTCGACATGACATTTTATAAAAAAGGTTGGTTGGTTTTAATATAGGTACTTCCTTTCGAGTTTCTCCTAAATAAAATAATGGTAGATGTTCATTTTTAAACGATCAAGAATGAAAAATACAATTTTGAACTACAAGTGATGTGCATAACATCAATTAAATAAAAAATGGGTTAATGTTTCGTATACTTGAAACACACAACACTATAACCAGTTTAGTTTAAACGAATGTTTTATAGTGTTCACTAAAAACTCAAAACCTGTAATAAGCACAATGAACATTAACCCGTTCCATGTCCAAAGTTGATTCCCACTTATTGACTGTCTGTGGTCTAGCTAGCACAGCCCAGAGGTAAGAACTTGTTTACATCCGTTTGACCTAAGCCTAACATCATCATCCACTTATTTGAACATTAAAAAAAAAAAGTGTTAAAACTAGCCGACATTTTTAACAGTTGCAGGGTGTAACAATAAAAGGAAGCTTATTAAAAAAAAAATTTTAATCAAGCAACGAATTATTACGTTAAAGCAAGCGCTGTGCGAATGCAAAAATAATACGTTCGCAATTAAATTTGTACATCAATAAATGATTTTCACTTAAACTCAGAATTGAAAGAATCTGGGGGAAAATTTTAAGCTTAAAGAAAAAAAAATGTTAGAGATTACTCGAATCGGAACAAAACACCTAGAAAATGGCTTATACCGAGATGGAAATTTCAGTTTGTATATTTTGCTATTATTAAACAGAAACCTTTCAAGTTTAAGGTGGTTGTTTATAACAGAAATTACAGTTACTTATCCAAGTTCACGTACACTTAGAAATTGCACAATTCCAAAACTTACATAACCGTTGTACTCTTGGACACAGCATTGTTTTGAACATTCAGAACATATTTTTCACAAGAAAAAAAACACTTTTTTTAATGTAATAATAAATTCAACGAAATAATAATTTACCTTATTTGTTTCTTTTTTTAAAAAAGTGTTTCTAATTTATGTTATTGGCTCAAGTATTCTCACACAGCAGATGGCGTAATATATGATTTACTAGCTATGAAAGAAAGCAGTAGTGAAAACAATTCTATCTTCTTTAACAATGAGCATTATTGTGCTGGATTCACTCGTTTCTGTGCACATAGCTTGTTATTATAGATAGATTCTCAAATTTTTTTATCACGTTTCACGAGTCTATAATCAATATACAATCATTAGTCACTGTTTTCAAAAAGCAAATACCCTAAAATGTATGCAGATTACTGACATTTGAGAAGGATATTTTATTATTTTGCTCGTAACTACATATCTACGATTTTAAGGTAAAAATAATATACAATTATTACAAATAAACAAACTGACAATTTTTTTTAATTTCGTATATTTTAAAATGGGGAGAGAGCTCATCTGCAGTACAAGAAATGTGACATTTTTATCTCTTTGTGTGTGTGTGTGTGTGTGTGTGTGTGTGTGTGTGTGTGTGTGTGTGTGTGTGTGTGTGTGTGTGTGTGTGTGTGTGTGTGTG